ATTATCCAGAAGATCTCCGTTTGATCCAAAACATGTCTGAGACAAATCTATAATATCGTCCTCTGAATATGTGTTTATCATTTGTTCTTGGCTTAATTTCTTGGCCTGAACTTGAGTCACAGCACACGAGAGAAAGATATCTGGATTCTCCTCAACAACAATGTGATTCTTAGACGAAACAGTGATCGGCTCGCCAGCCAAATCGTTTCCCAACAATAATGATACACCCTTAATTGGCAGAGTAGGTCTTACTTCAACCACAACTGGTTCCGAAACTAGGTCTGATGCTAAACAAATGTTATGAGGAGGAACATTAACAAAGCAACCCTCAATACCCTGAGTAATAACAGATTCACCAGTGGCAGAACTCAAATCTAAAGGCAATATACCTTCTAACAACAATAACTGAGTCGCCCCAGTATCACATAGAAAACGTATGGGTATGGGATTGCTAGTGTCATTCGTCAAAGACACAGAACCAACAGATACAAAAGGTTTCAATTTCTTTATCGCAATACAAATTTAATAGTACAAGCTATGCATGTTTTTAAAGATAAACTTAATCTAAACAAAATCGATATGAAAATAAGTATATAATAACAAATTCGTTACAACTCTCTCCTCAGAGAAGTAAAATTGGCTTCTGACATATGAGTATGGGATTTCCAGTGTCATTTGTCAAATACACAGAACCAACAGACACAAAAGGTCTAAATTCCTTCCTGATTACATCAGCCTTTATATCAGCGGCCAAATCAACAACATCCGGTGATGTGAAACTACGTCCATATGTGGACACAAACGCACTGGGTGTTGCCTCCTTTTCTTTTTTCTTTTTCAAACACCAACAATCGGACATAACATGACCAGGTTTTTAACAAAAATAGCAACCAGGCCTTGATTGTTTTAAAGAAGTTTTATCCTGACTGTCAAATATTTCGAACTAGAGGAACTGGATTTTTTAGAAGAATCCTCAACTTTAGTGGATTGAACAGATACAGGTTTTTGCTCAGATGGTAGGAATTGTTTTTATGAAAAGGGGTTTTATGTGTTAAAGTGTAATGATCGGAAAGAGCAGCTGCTTTCTGTAGTGTTTCATCTTTCTTTTTATCCAAGTAAGTTTTGAGGTCATCACGTGCACAACGTTTAAATTTCCCAATTAGACATAATTGTCTTAGTTTGTCGAAACTATTGCCAACATGCATAGAATTACACCATCAATTAAAATAAACCTCTTTTTCGTAGTCAAATTCCATATAGGTTTGATTATCTTGCTGACGATAACCTCGAACCTTTTGGCGATAAGCCTCTGGTACTTACTCGTATGCTTTGAGAATAGCTGCTTTAACCTTATCATAATTCGTACATTCTTCTAGAGAGAGAGAGAGAGGCATAAGCTTCTTGTGCTTTTTAAGACACTTTGTAATAATAATGACAATTTGTCGGGAGTCCATTCCATGGTATATGCAAAATGTTGGAAATAGATATTTATCAACTTCATTTTCATTAAACGATGGTAGTCTAACACATCGATTAAATTTAAAGATGTCGTTTTGCCTCAGTCGATAAGGGTTGAGTATAATTACCATTTCTTTGAACTTAATTTCTTTTTCGGCTTCAATGCGTATTTTTTTTTTTTTTGCCTCGAGACGTTTATTTTCTCTTTCAACTCCGATTCCAGTTTGTTCTTTCTCGGCTTCGATACTAGCTTGTTCTTTCTCTTTTTTGTCTTCGATACGAAGTTGTTCACGCTCGATTTGTTTGAATTCTATCTGGATCTTTAACTTAACTTTATCACTTAACCCTGATTGGCTAGTGGGGACACTAGAGTATTCCCGAATGCTTTCTCAGACAACAAATCATCATCAACTAGTATTAAGATAATATGCTTTTTTTAGTTCATTTTTTCTCATTGATCTTTTAACTTCTACTTCTAAAACTTGGTTAATTTCGAGGAATTAATTTTTGTTATATCTTTCTTGATGTTTGGGGGAGGGTGATTCAAGAAAATCTTGATAATCAGCTTATTAAGGAATACGTTGTGTTGAATTATTTTCGTAATTGCCATCCTTTTAACACTAGTTTTTAAACTTAAAACAAATACATTTATCATGAAACATAGCTAACACTTTGTGAGAAGAAATTAAATACACAGTTAGTGGCCCATTTTCGTCTTCCACTGTTTCGTCGAAATCATAGCTAATTTTTCTCGATATCGTCAAGATGTAGAATGAGCCTTATGGCTGTTTTATGAAAAGTAAGTAAACAATACAAAAATAGATGTTTAAACATTTTCCCTCGCAAGTTTAAAAAATTTCAAAGAATATACTTTCTCATTATCAGACGATCAATTTAATGATTATAAAAGTCGTTAGATGTACTTGAAAGAAAATATTTGGTATATATATATATATCTAAGTATACAGGCTTAGAATTTATCGTATGCACACTTAATGAATTGATATTCCTAATGTGCAAAGATTTGACATTTTTTGTGTGTGTATTTACGCAGTTCTTGACTTGAACTTTGCTATTTTTTGCCATGTCACTCTCTATCAATCATCAACTTTTCCCTTGATTTCCTGCATGTTCAAGATCCGGAGATGTTCGATTTCCAATCTGTGCAGCTGCTATGGATGCTATGCCGATGAACTTAATGATAACCCTTGTTGAAGTATATCCATCTATCAAGCCAAAAGATGCTATATCGGCACTCAAGGACAGTAATGACAATAAAAGTAACCTTCTGTCAATTCAAAATATCAAGAACAAGGCCTCCAACCTCAAACAGATAATAAAGAAAGTCGTATAATTTGATTTGAGAATTAAAAAAAGAGATAATCAGTTCGTGTGTGTATGACTCTTGCTGATAAATGACGCGGCCACTCCTAAACCCGATGTTTCTTTGACTGTTCATAGCTCTCGAAGGAAATAAGTTACTTTCAAACGGGTTGCATATTTCGTTAGAGCAGATTTGGAAGTTTCTAACGTGTATGTAGAACCTCCACGAAACAATTACAGAAAATTATTGTTCCTTGTCATGTCATACAAAACAAAAACACTACTTCACCTATGATTGTGGGAAATATCCCGTGTTAAAATTGTTTGCAGTGAAGCCTACTTACGTACAACTTTTCTGTGTTCAGGTATTTGTGTACAGTTATTGCGTACTCTATTATGCTTGATGCTTCTAAATCTTTAAGTTCTTGGCTTTTAATCTTGAATTTTTTTAGCTGCTCATACGATTCTCTTATCTGCTGTATCCGTAATTTTCTTTGTATGTCTATTTTCTTAAACGATTTCAGTTGCATTTGTTCTATGATACTTCTTGATTTTGGATCTGATTGAAGATTTTGGTACTACATATTCCTCTGACATTGCTTAGTAGTTATTTCCTTTATTGTCTTCTTACTGCAAGTGATTTTCTCAAACGTGAATCCAACTTCTTTGTTGAGAACATCATCTGCTTTGTTGCCACAAATTTCCTCTTCAACAGGTGTTGATAACCATTACCTTTTTCCTGGAAACTGGCTTTATAATTCAGCTTAATAACTGTGTAATGATATGTTTCACTCATTTTTTTCTGTAATTAGTTCTATTGACATCTTCGAGACTTTTATGAAAGGTGCCATTACTTTTGTACTGAACAAATGTCTGAAATTTTGTTTTTCTTTACAAAAATTGTTAATTAAACTACCAGAAATAATGGGTTTTTTTTGTTATTACTACATCAATTATATGCTAATGTTGCTTTGATATTTATAGGCTAACGTTCACTAGTTGTTTTATTTCACGTTTTCTTTAGTTATCCTATTTTGAATGTAGGGGTGCTAACACTTTTGTCTGCGACTGTATCTAAAGAAACAGCTGCGCAGTTATATCAGCTTCTCTCTCGTTCTCATATAATCCTTAAATGTTTTAATTTACAGAATTTAAATTAGCTACTTGTGTATTTGTCTATTATTTGTTTCTTTGTTTTTCAAATATAGCTAATCAAGGGCTATATGTGCTATCAGTATTAGAAAGAAGGCACCACGTCTACAGCACTAATAGGCTGCTCTTGTCTGATCGAATAATGCAAATCTTTCTCCACCCTTATAATACACCCACGATTTCAAAGTGTGCAGTGTGATTTGTGTGTGTGTGTGTGTGCTAACAGGACGCAAACATTGGGTTCGAAGATTTCCAACTACTGGGCAACGCTTGGCCCTGTTTGCACATTAGTATGTACTATATTAATTGTGAAATTATGGTTTGATAAAGTATTGTTAAGTATTGTGTTGAGCTTCAGGCTTTCCCTGGAGTGATTTAAGGCACATAGAAGATTCCCAACTACTGGGCAACGCTTGGCTCTGTTTGCACATTAGTATGTACTATATTAATTGTGAAATTATGGTTTGATAAAGTATTGTTAAGTATTGTGTTGAGCTTCAGGCTTTCCCTGGAGTGATTTAAGGCACATAGAAGATTCCCAACTACTGGGCAACGCTTGGCTCTGTTTGCACATTAGTATGTACTATATTAATTGTGAAATTATGGTTTGATAAAGTATTGTGTTGAGCTTCAGGCTTTCCCTGGAGTGATTTAAGGCACAGAGAAGATTTCCAACTACTGGGCAACGCTTGGCCCTGTTTGCACATTAGTATGTACTATATTAATTGTGAAATTATGGTTTGATAAAGTATTGTGTTGAGCTTCAGGCTTTCCCTGGAGTGATTTAAGGCACAGAAGATTTTTATTCGAAATGCATAGTAAATGTAAAATTAAAAGTGCATTTTAGATTAGAAATAATATCATACTCAAGCCTAAAAAGTTTTAACATCAGAGGTAAACTGCAAGCGCTGTATTCTCTAAATATCATGGTTTTAGTATTTGGTAAGTATATATTTTTTACTGACTTTAGGTAGCTTCTTATGAACTATGTATCATCTGACAGTCACATTCCATCATTTTTCTTTCAAAAAAAGTTTTAAGACTACAAAATCAGAGTACTTTCTCATATAGCAATTTAATCAAATCTGGTACACTGAAGTATATACTAGACATCAACCACATTTTTAGATGTTATAACTCATGAGACACAGGTTGCAATAAAAGACAAACAAGATAATATTAACCTTACACTGAAGATGAAATCGATTGCTGTGTGTCTGTTTTACTAATATAGAAGCCATATAGTTAATAAAACACTTTCAGGAATTAAGAATATAATATTAAAATGAGACTAACATATTATAAAATGACAAATCAAAGCATGAATAACTTTGCAGAGACAGAGACTGGAATATTGAAATAAGTACTTTTTTATAACAGATTTAGTTAATCGAAATTAAATTTAAGTATTTTTAGGGTTAAAATGACAAACATAGAGCACAAATATATCGTTTTCTGATAAAACTGGGGAAGATCTAATTGAAAATAGCTGTACTGAATAACTGATTAGAAGCGCAAATGCTGTTTGTTGGATTATTATTTTTTTATTTCTTTGATGAACCTTCTATAAGTTAAACGTCATAATGACTTTAAGCTTGAATCAAACAAGTAACATGAAATGTAGAAATATCACAGTCAGTCACGAGATCTTGAGGTTGGTCGTTTCTGCGCCGTGCTTTATCTGAGCCAAATAATAAGGTGTGGTTCAACGAGACGAACATCGCCATTTTTTGGTGGTATTTAAAATGTGCACTTAACCATCTTAATCAATTGCACATGTACAAATTTTAAAAATCAAACAATAATATAGGCCTAAAGTCTTCATGAATTAAGAGCAAAACATTCTTTTTCTTTCACACTAAAGAATGAAACGTTCAAGCTTTTTAACTAAAGCATATTGTTAAAAACAAATGTGTGCACGAAAAGGTGCTCTGACACGTTGAAAAGTCCGAAGCCGGTGTTGTTAAATTATCTGCTAGTTTTTTTTTTTTTTGTAATCAATAAAATACGATGCTACTTTGTAACACCAGATTTCACAGAATACGAACGTTTCTTTAAGTTATTATATGTGCATGTGTCTGGTATGTATGCCAGTTCGAAAGTCAACTTTACTGATTTAACCAACTGCATGGCGACTCTTTATCAGATTCAAAGAGCTCCTTTCAATTTCTCAAATTTCTTAGTAATGAACTTCTTCCAACATGTTACTGTAAGATTAAAGATATTATAAAAATGTGGCTTAGAAATCTCCAAGGTAATTTGTATAAGACGACACTGCCATTTGTACCTGAAAAAAAAAAAGATCCGTAGTTATTAATATAATCAATAAAACCATATAAGTGAGTATCTGACTTTTTAAAAAGGGAACGTTCCGAAAATGTTGAAGTTGCGTTTCTTAAAGTTGCTACGCCCGTCATTTATTTTCATTCTAGATATTTATAGATTATCTTAAAGACGAACCTGAAATTTCGAGTGTGCTATCTAACAATATACCCGAACCTGTATACTTGTAGTAAACTAATATATAACTTTAAGGATGAGTTTTGATAATACCGAGTCCTATACTAAAGCTGAAAAACCTTTAATTTTTAAGGGTTTTCATAGCGAAAAAATATCTATACAAGTGGAAATCTAACTGGCTCAAAAGTATTTTCTGAAAATAAAAGTTTTCCACACTGTTTGATATTTACTATTTATTCAAAATTTCTAAATCCTATTAAAACATTGCAATATCTTTTATAAAACTTATAAAACATTTTTTGGTTTTAGCTATGTTATGATATTTTCTTGTTCATTAGTTATGCGATAATATAGAGGACCATTATATGATATTTAATATAAGTAAAATTAAGTCAAGTCTGACAGCAAACCTGAATAATAAATAGTTTTAAGGTTTTTTATCCACTATCTAAAACATTATACATTTAAAACAAAATATATTTTTTAACTATTCATAGTTGTTCCCTTTACACTACTCCATAGCGTCTTGAACTGAACACGTTTTCTATCTTCATTTACTAATTCAAGAACACTCACGAAGGCTTTAATTACAATTGATCACACAGTTAGAAAACACTGAAATTTCAGCATTAGTAACATTTTAAACATTTAACGTAATATGCAGTTATGGTTTAAAAAATCTGATTTGTGTAATTTCAAATGTACCCCGAGTAATATAATCATTCTACAAATGAATTAAGTTTAAGTTATTGCATTAAAATAACCAAAATATATCATTTTTAAACCATTAGAAATATTATCTTAATAGTGAAGGAAACCTTTTATTAAGTGTTTTTGTGATGAACATGATTATCTTTCGCTTAATATAGCAATTCCAACTAGTCGAAAGGAATACAATACTTTTGTTGTTTGTTTTTTTTGTTTTTTAATTATGCACAAAGCTACACAAGGGCTATCTGTGCTCTGCCCACCACGGGTATCGAAACCCGGTTTCTAGCGTTGTAAGTCCGCAGACATACCGCTGTGCCACTGGGGGTCCAATACTTTTGTAAATATGCAATTGTATTTTCTGCACGTTCTTGGGCCAATAAATGTTTAACGTACCAGTAAAAATTTGAAACACCTAACAGCACAAATACAAAACTTTTAACTTATTTCTCTAGATTATATGGATATATAATTTGGTTTGACATTCCCTGGTAGTTAGGGCACTCGACTCGCAAACTGCGGGTCGCGAGTTCGAATCCCGTTACTAAATAAACTCGCCCTTTCATCCCCGGAGTGTTATAATGTGATGGTAAAGAGTATCTCACCAGTTTGCGGTGGGCGGTGTTAACTAAGTCTTTTTTCTAGTCTATAACTTCTACATTAAGGACGACAAGCGCATATAGCCCTTGGCTAACTATGCGCGAAATTCAAAATCAAATATAAAATTTACATTGAATCAATTAGTAATAACCAATATAAAGACAAAGTCGACAATAGATAATAACTGTAAAAAAATAATCTCATATTTATTTTATATTTTCTGTATTAAAGTTGTTCAGGTTGAATGCTAACAATTTTTATTATATAAGAAAAATTCATTTTTATTCAATTTTAGAAATACCCAGCTCTAGATTGCTATTACGTCCATTTTATATATTCAGGCTAAAAATAAATCTAATTTTATATTATAGATTCATATTCTATCAATTTCACGAAATATAATATCATTATTAACTGCACTGTCTACACTTTTGAACTTAGAAAAAACTCTTAGCTAGTTGTCACAGTATCACGAGATTTTATCAATTTTTTCTAAAGCAAGACACTCATACTTTAAGTAACACATTAACATTGAAATATTATATTTGTTAGAGAGACGAGATACGGATTTTTAGTGTAAAACAAAATAATGTTTATATTTCACGGTAGTTAACTGTATAATATTTCAATCGTATTTAAACGTTCGTTTAGATATTCTAAAAATTAAGAATATATTTTCTGTTGTATGAGTTTGTTATTCGTACTTTTATTTCAATTTCACCAAATCTTTAAAATAACAATTCTTAAAATCAGAGTTCCAAGCACTGTGCATATATCTTTATTATTATTATTACCATTACGGTACCATAACAATCATTGTTCAGTAGCAAGTCCCTGCGTAACGGAACCAAATTAAAATTTACTAAAATACTCTGCAACTTTTGAGAATAACGTAATAACAATAGAGAAAATATATTTATGTCAATATATAATTTAACTGCAAGCAAAACAGTAAAGCATGTTTCTTATCATTAGGAAGGAAGGTTTTTAAAATCTCAGTATTTCTGAACCTCTTATCAATGATAAAAAAAAATCAAGCCAAGTCAAAAATATCGCAGAGATATGGACAAAACATATTAAACCCAGTTACAACATACAACCTAAGACGTTATAAAATATGTAATAAAAAACACCTTAAATTTGAAAAAATGTGCGGCCAAAAAAGGATTCAGCGTGCGAACTAAAAATTGGCGTCCAAACTGGTAGTTACACATTGATACAAATTCTACAGCAAATATTCATTGGTTAGCCAGGCCGCGTATTTTGTTTTACCCACCATCATACCCCAAGTTGAGAAGAATACGCAGCCTGGCTAACCAATGAATGGATATTTACTGATAAATTATTATCAATGCTATAAGTGTAGCTACCAGTTTGGACGCCAATTTTGATTTCATTCCTTTAAGTCGCACGCTCAGTCCTTTTTGGCCGCATATTTTTTCCACATTTAAGGTGTTTTTGATTATATATCATGACTTTTTGTCAATACACACCAACTAAGAAAATAACATTGGATAGTAACCAACATTAGCTTTAGGATTGCAACCCTATAATTTGGAACAAACCTATGCTTTACAGAACCATTATCATTATCCGCATGCAATCGGTACAGCCGAATCAGGCATCATTATTTACACTAATTGCTTAAGCTAATATCATGTGACGCTAAACTCTCTTTAATTATGGGAATTTCATGAAATTTAGCAAGTTTTGGCTTAAAAGTTAGCAATGAATAATAACCGTCCACCCGTATGATTCTTTTGAAAACTTTAGCTAGAAACTGCTAATCTAGCTTGCTTAGCCTAACCAGTACTTATGTATCGACACGTGATTTCACCCTATAGTTTTCCTCTCTATATTAGCCGTCTTTAATCCGAATGACAAAAACTTAAAAGTTTAGTCAAAATTGATCGGTTTCGACACTTAATTATAGATTGTAAAGATTTATCAGTATACCAAATTTCAGAAATTTAATTTTAAGTGGATGGGTTCTACTGGATCTTTATTTCACATACTAAATTTCTGGGCAATCCATTAAGAAGTACACGAGATATAAAATATCCAGTTTTGGTTCAATGTTTTTCCTTTTTTTTCACACCGACAGTATGGAAACTATTTGATAGAAAAACATGCTTTAAATTTCAATATATTAGTTTGGGGTACCACAGTCCGAGGTACAGAAAGCGGAAAATTCTTAAACTATCACTCCTGTTAATAACACACAGTGTGTCCTGCACTTTGTTTAGGCCGCACAACACACTAGAGTGTGTCTTCATTTCCTCAAAAGTTGGATTAACAAAACGATAGAGATACACCGTATAACATATTTCACCTTTATTCGATATTCCCAGAAACTTCATACTAAGTGTGACGGATTTACTATTATATGTTTATTTTAATATCGATGTTTGTTTAAATTAAATTTATATTTAGAAATGTACATAACCTGTACTGTTAAATCTGTTTTGCGAAATTCTCGCCTATTCTCTAAAGTTGTAGAAGATTCTCGACTATAAGAATCAACAATATATGTGTGTACGTAAACGCTAGTGTAGCGTTTGTATTGTTGCGAAACTGAAATTTCGAGAAACTCCCCACACGCCTACAAATATAACCAACGCGACGCGCCTAAAAACAGTATCTATTATTAGTTTTCTATAGTTGGTATACTATAAACCCCGGAAGCTATAATTGTGATTGTGATATTGCTTATTAATCGGGACATTTCAAATATTTGACCAGGAACATTTATAAATTTCGAACATTATAAATAATTTAACTTCAGTATATTCACAACGGGCATTAGTATTTTTACATATATATTATATAACTTCAGTGGTAAAAGAAAATCGACCTGTAATCGGCTTGTGATCAGCGAGAACTATAGAGATAGCTAACTCCCTATTAAGTGAATTAATAAACTCGTTCATTGTCAACCCTCGATAAGACATCCAGGAAGTTCCAGACTAGAAAGAAGACTTTATATTACTTGTAAATTTGTAAAACTTTTGTATATAAATCAATGTTTGTAATAACTATTTGTGATAACTGTTATTGTAAATTGTATTATTGTTTGTATATTAAAATATATTTATATTAAAAAAAAAGAAAACTGTGTGTACCAATCTTGTTGGCAAATATCATAAATTGAATATATATCGGCATTTATTTAACTACTAAATCTAAAGTAGAATTTAACTCAGTTTTAGGATATTTGAAATTGTATTACGTAACATATGTAAAATAAGTATACAAGGAAATGTAAAGATATGGCATAAATACTCAAGCTCACAAAGTTTCTCATTTTTTCCATATTACGCTAGCTGTAGTCAGCCGTAAGGAGGAAGGAGTTGGCTGCTCAAAAATATAATGTATAGAATGTTATAAAAATAGACAATTGCATAACACAACCTTATAGCTTACCATTATCATTCAACAGTAAGTATTTGTTAAACCGCAGATGGAATGCTCACATAATATCACTATAGATTTATAGGAGGTTGAGTACATTATATCAAA